TCCATCCATCCATCCATCCATCCATCTATCCAACTAATCTTCCATCTATCCATCCATCCATTCATCCAATCATCCATCTAATCATCCATCCATTCATCCAACCATCCATCTAATCTTCCATCCATCCATCCATCCATCCATCTAATCTTCCATCTATCCATCCATCCATTCATCCAATCATCCATCTAATCATCCATCCATTCATCCAACCATCCATCTAATCTTCCATCCATCCATCCATCCATCCATCTAATCTTCCATCTATCCATCCATCCATTCATCCAATCATCCATCTAATCATCCATCCATTCTTCCATCCATCCATCTAATCTTCCTTTCATTCATCCATCCATCCTTCCATCCATCCATCAATCCATCCATGTTCTCTTTTCAACTTTCATCATCTGCAATACAAATGTTTTCCTCTTATTTGACTGATAGGTGTCAGGTTGTGAAACATGGAAGCTCTGTGTCCGGGTCTCTGCCGTTCCGTGGGAGTTCCTCAGGGTAGCATACTGGGCCCATTGCTTTTCCTATTATACATAAATGACCTTCCAAAAATATTGAAGTTTTCAAATATTTTAATGTAAGCTAATGATACTGTTCTTTTTTTGTCTGATTTCAATAATGAATCTATTAATAGTCAGTTACAAGCACATCTTCAGACATTTCATGTAGGGGTGTCCCGATCCGATATTGATATCGGTCCGATATCAGCCAAAACCTGAGTATCGGATTTTATCGACCTGCATAAAAAATGTCCGATATAAGCGCTCCGATATTAGCAGTCCATTCAAGCAGTTCACTGACTCGGCTCCAGTGTTTCTATCCAGCAGRGCTTGGATCCAGCATGTTGCGCTCAGGTGATCACAACAACATGCAGCGCTAACAAGTTAGCAAGAATGTCGGCAGAACGTTCTATTTTCATCAGAAACAGAGTTGCAGCTAAGTGCAAAGTTGTCATGCACAAGTTTTCCGAGGGGGAACAGAACCGTGTATGTTTTAAACTGGAGCAACAACTACTCTCCACCCTGGCAGCAGCTTTGCTGTTCGGCTCGGTTCGTTCAGCCTCGGTCCAGTGACCGCACACAGCCGCGGTGTTTCAGAACCTCCTCTCTGGTCCAGTCGGTGGTTCTAAGCTGGCAGAAGCGAGGACAGCACGCTTACAGTTTTGACATCCCGTGGATTAGCTCTGGGTCGATGGACAGAAGAAAGGAGAGCGCAGATTTTGTTTTGGAATAAGAGCACGACATGACGAGAGCAGTGATAAAAACTGCTCCCTGCAGGAGCGAGAGGCTGATCTCCACATGATGCTCAGAAAATGCAGCAGTAAGAAAGTTAGCTATCAATTTAAATAACTGACTAATTCTTACTATTTATTTTTTGCTCGTTACTAGAGTGATGTTTAATCTGTTTACACACTTGTTTGAGTGAAGATTAAGTGCAATGATCACGTTGTTTTAGTTACAGTCAGTAAAATTGGAGCTGTGGACTCTTAACTTTGAACAGACAATAATGTGGGGTTTTGTTTTGTCCCCACCTTCAGTTTTTTCCACCGTAAAGCAGCACCAAGCTGACAGGTAGTAAAACAATAACAAAAGTGATTTTGAATTGTTATTTTATATTTTAAAAGAACATTTTGTTTTTATTATGTTTTATTTTTCAGGGTATTATAATTTATTTTATTAAATTGTATAATGTTCTTCAGTTTAAAATGAATGTGATCCATCGGTTAAAAATAAATGGGTCAGTTTTTCTCATACCTATTCTTTTTAACTGTTTGACTTGATCAATACTTTTCTAAGATTTTACACTACAAAATAGGTAAAAGTGTGTGACTTGTACTGTTATGGTAGCGGGTCAATATCGGTATCGGACAATTCTCAAAGTTGTAATATCGGTATCGTATCGGAAGTGAAAAAGTGGTATCGGGACATCCCTAATTTCATGGTTGGCTTCAAGATAATCTTTTGTCAGTTAATGTTAAAAAACTGTGTGCATGTATTTTTCCTCACCCAGGAGACATTTCAATATAACAAATCAACTCACTTTTTAAACAAACCCCTTGATATTGTCACTACCTACAAATATCTTGGAATTACTTTGGATTCTCTTTTGACTTATCGTGATCATGTACAAGTCTTAACCACTAAGTTGAAACACAAATTATACGTTTATTCAAAAATTAGATCCAATCTGACATCTTCCGTTTCAAATATCTATCTTCATGCCATTATAATCTCAACCATGTCGTACTGTTTACCTGTTTGGTCTCTTACAACAAATTAAATCTTAGAACCCATAGTTAGGCTCTACAACAGGGCCTACAAAATTCATAAACAACTTCCTGGTTGGACTCATCACTGTACAGTTCTTTCATTGTCTGATGCCTTGACTTTTCAGAATTATGTTTTGTATAGTGGTATTAATTTATATTTTCAGATCTTCCAAAGTGTCAATTATGGAACTCTCTGTGCATTGTTGCCCAAATCAAATTCTGGAAGTGGTCATTCAACTAGATCTGTTACAAAAGGAAAACTGACATTACCAACTTTTAAAAACTGTTACGGCCAGAGGTCTTTCTTCTATGTTTAAACTAAAGCATGGAATGACATTCCTCAAAACATAAAGTCAATTTCAAAACTGCAGCCCTTTAAGAAGAARCTTGTCTGCCATCTGCTGGACACTTTCTGTTGTGCTCATATTTAGACATCCTATTTTGCAAATGCTGCCTTTTTGAAATTTGGTATGCTTGTTTGTCTTTGTGTCTATGGTGTATAATGATGTGATTGTGATGCCGTAATTCTGAGTGTTTTATGTGCTGCAGAACAGGAACCTGCTGTAAAACAGCAATTATGCTGAGTCAGGCTTGATTTTTAATAATCTTTTCCTGTTAAATTAAAAAAATTTTAAAAAAAGCATCAATAGTTAGGGAGCGTGGTGGTGGAGGGAACCATTCTGAGCTCTACACCAGCCTTCGTCTCTTGCAGTCCCGCTCCATTTGGTCCTCGGCCTGACTGGTCGACGCACCCAGAGGAGACACCTGGTTCAGCAAGGAGTCATCTGAGGCCTGACCAAACAGGGCCATGAGCAAGGCAACACCAAATCCTGTGGCACGCTCCCCCTGGAAAAACAAAACAACTACCAGTATTAAAAAAAACACAACAACAAACTATAAACATCCCTCTCAAGTGTTAGAATTAAACTTAAATAGTTGTTTTAATGGACTTGTGATTAAACATAATGATTACTCCATACCACTACAACAAARACTTTTCTGGGACGACATACTGAGACTAAAGAGACACTTCAATACAACAAAAGTGAACGTGAACCATTTTGTTCATGAGCACCAGACAACCACCTGCAGGAAAGTAAAATAATATCAAGTGATAAAGTAACAACGACCACTGTGGTCAGGGGCTCAATTCAGATTTTTTTTGTGTGTGCTTGTTCATTTAAATATGACCTCCACCAGAGAAAAGTGAACAGTCTATGGCCCTCCTGCCTACTCTGGCATCAAGGATAAATCTAGAAAATTAAAAAAAACGAAGCAACAGAATTTCTGTTTTGTAGTTGAAGACGTGCGTAGTTCTGAGCTTTACGACAACAACCCTGTTCTGCTTTTCCCACTCAGCTGGGAAATCACTTGTCAAACCAGTCTGAGCACCAAAGATTTTTAGATAGTAAAAATACCCTTTGAATGCAGCTACATTACTGTGTTAGTTTACAAACAGACCAAGTAAAAACACATTGTTTTATGAAGGACCATACATAACTGTCGAATAATGTATTTACACTGGGAAGCTAAACGTCTGGATGCATGATTTTGAACATAAAAGTCTTGAGGATTTAAAAGCACTTTAAAATCACAGGATATTTTAGGATTGATCATGTGTCAGTACTCACTGCATGAACTGGAGAGGCGATGTCTACATGGACCCAGACACCGGGCCAATCAAAGCCCAGGTGGGAACCAATAAAGAGGCCTGCACAGGAGCTCTGAGCGTTCTCCCGGTCCTGTAAAGACACAGCAGGGATGGCAAACATCAGTGAATAATCTACAGTTACACCCACCTAAATATGCCATGTGTAATAGCTTATAATAATGTAACAAAGTACATGGTATTAAGTAAAATAAAATATATCACAAGTGTTTAACATAAAGCTCCACTTGTCAATGAATATAACGTTCAAAATCTAAAAGTAATGTAATAATTTTTTRRCCAGATCAGCGTGARTAAAACAGTTATAATTGTCATTTAWACAGACWGAGCTGAAGTCTGGTCTGGCAGTAGCTGAGAGTCATCCTGACCATGTGTTCAAACTGCTAACAGATCTGTCAGCACCTGTCATTTACAGAAATGTTTCTCCTCTCCTGAGTTTTAACTCTTATGCTTCATGTTTGCGTTCGTCACTTACAGCCACAGAGTTCTTCATGTCCGCCATGGCGGAGGTGAACTCGCTGAAGTGCAGCTCGGGACAGTAAACCAGAGGGTGAGCGAGGTCACCGCTGCTGCGACCGGCACGCACACAAGCCACCTCCCACTGCTCACTGTTGGTCATCACGGCAGCGTGGTACTTCCCTGTGGAGATCCCCTAACAACAAAAACAAAAAAACAATGAGATGTAAAAGATGAAACCTTCCTTAAAAACTATTTCCCTGTCAGACTGCTCTCTTCAGGGAATGTTAGAGTGAAGAAAGGCTGCACCTGCTGATTTGTGGCGCAAATGGTTTTATTGCACCCACCTGTGCCCCTGTCAGTGTTGCCATATCCAAAATAATATCAGCAGACAAGTCTTTGGAGGCGTACACCACTCCGTCAGCCAGCACCAGCCTGCCCTCTGCATCAGTGTTATTGATTTCCACTGTCCTTCAGAGCAAAACACTCATTTTAAAGACRTTTACTAATCTGCCAGGCTTGTAAACCAATATTAGATGTATCTTGAAGGCAATCAAACAGACAAAACAAGAAGCGAGGACAAGTTACAACAAGATACATGATTCTAAAATAAAACTTAAGCGTCTCACTTTCCAGAATAGAGTGTGTGGATGTCATCAGGTCGAGTGGCAGTGGGTCCCACAGAGTTCTCAGCGAGACAAAACACGGCATGGAGGTTATCCTTAAAGCCCTGACGAGAAGAAAGGAGAGAGTTTAAAGAAAGAAAATAAATGACAGCTTATTTGGAAAAACGAAAAAAGTTCACCTCACCTGTTTGATAGTAGCCTTGAAAGCTCCTAAAATGGCAGCAGCTCCTCCACAGTCCCTCTTCATGCCAGGCATGGTGGTCTATCAAAAAGACGAATCACTTGTTTAAATTATAAAATATTATCATCAGATGACTTAAGCAAGACAAAAGTTGTTTTGAAACGTATTTTAAGGCCAGCCAAAGTGATTGTTTTCTGAAACCTGAACACACTTTTCTCTAACAAACAAACAGAAAGAACAAAAACCTAATGTCAGGCAATCAAACTTGATCAGCACACAAACAATGGCTTACACTCAATTTTGACTGACAACAATTATCACTGTAAGGCTCTAGTGTACCTTTCCCTTGATGCTGAGTCCTCCGGTGTCGTATACGATGCCTTTGCCCACCCACGCGATGGTTTGTGTTGCACCTTCAGGCATGTGGCTCAAAACTGCCAGAGCAGGAGGATGTTCTGCTGCCTTTCCAACACCATAAATCCCTGAGAGAAAAGGAGAGACAAAAATACCTTTACAACTAATAATCAGCCTGAGGATGACAAACCAGAAAGCTCAATATCAGGGTTAAGATTATGTTGGAAATAGTAGAGTGCATTTCAATAAAGGCATTTACACAGCTAAACAATGTTTTTTAAAATGAGACATTTTTAATATAGTTTTACTTTAATTAATTCAATATCAAATTTTAATAGACTACTTGAGGTCATTTTCCACAAAGTCCCCCTGAATAAAATGTCCAGAAAAATCAGTGGCTGTGTCTTAATTCATGGGCTGCATCCTCATGAGTGCAGTGCACATTTGTCAGCCACAAACGTCACTGCCCCACGTAGAGTGTTGTCCCTATTCAAAGGCAGCTCCTCATGCAGCCAACAAAATCTCAAAAATCAAGGATGTATCATCAGAGTGTCCTTCCCGGCCGAGGATATCCCAGGATTCTATGCACCCACTGCAAACTAAAAGTAACAAAGATGGTGGAGTTTTAATTTTTTGACCAAATTGGCGTAGTTTGGAAATTCATCACGGACTGAAGAATTTGTTTTTTAAATGTAAGTTTAGCAACCTAGCTGATGAAATTCATGCTGCAATAAGATGTTAAATAAAATGTAGCTACAAGTACTGATACTGGAGCTATAACCAAATTAATAATGTTTTTTTATTTATTTACATGTAACATTTTAATTGTGAAGTTATTCTTCCAGTGAAAGGACGTGTGAATACACGTCCCGACGCATTTTAAGTCTGTTATGAAACAGATCGCTATGGTAATGTGGTAGCGCGTGGTCACYCAAAGATATGTCAAGCGAAGACTAGACCGTCTCATTTCACAGCAATTTTACGCAGTCTACCCGGACTGGGAAGGACTCATGAGGATGCAGCCCGTGAATTGAGACACAGCCAGAAGATTGCACCCCATGTGAACAGAGCAACAAATCGTAAGAAGACTTCACTGCAGGTGAAAGTGTTTGAGTTGTTGCGTCAGTCACAACAGCCCCAACCTGTGCAGACTGCAGCTTTGTATTGTCACATTTTAGMTGTCAGATTCAGACTCAATCTGATAAAGATTAGAAGCTATTTCATCATAAACGACTTGTGTCAAGAACAAAAGGCTTTGAACTTCTGCAGTCAAACCAGCTCATTTTGGCTTTCATCAAATAAAAAGAGTTTCCTGCATCCTTCAATTAACTTCACAGCCAACAGATTATGACTGAAAAACATGGAAGAAGCCATGTGTCTTTTGAAAATAATCCAGTGATAAAAGCTCTGTGATGTTTGCCAACGAATGTGTTACAGAGCAGTGACAATACGTTGAATGTGCCTTTTAATTTGAGGCTTTTTAAAATTCAGACAATCTTTTCCTCTGTTATCTGATTACAACACAGAACGTAACCGAGCTGCAGAAACTTTAGAGAAATGCACAGATCCAGTACCTCCAAAGCCTTTTTGTTTCAGCTCCTCTCCACAAATGATGACTGGAGTGATTCCAAGTTCAGCACKGACAGTTTTTATTTCCTGAAGCACAAAGGAATATTTGCAAAGGAAAGCTTAAAATGTAATAAAACTTGACACAGTGCAGCTGAACCTTTTCTTTAAATGCAGATAAAGACTCACATCTAAGAAGAGGTCCGTGTTCATCTCATTGCACGGAGTGTCCACAATGCGAGCTGCCAGCCGCACACCATCAGCAGCGTTGGACAGGCACTAAACATGAGAAAAGTTTTCAGGCAGTGGAGGTGACAACGTGCTATTCTCGGCAGAAACGCAACATAAAAAAGGACTACAAGGTTAAACTTCACAAAGTGGTACCTTGAGTTCTGCAGCATCCAGAGGACTGCTGTCAGGACCGACAATTATAAACTCCACTGTCACACGCTTCTTCTCAGTCCTGCGAATCGAAGCAGAGCGGCGGGAGAAGATGGGGAAGGCCCTGGCGATGGCACAAGAGGACGCGAACACATCTGAACGCTCGCACACCATCTAGAGAAGAAAGAAGAACTTATTACTCACCTAAACATTAAGATTTGAAGACTCAACAACCAAAAAGAGTCAGCAAAAAACATCACTGTTTAACAGAAGAACTTTTTTTCTGTAGCTAAAAATGCTTCTTGTCTTTTCTAGAAAGAGGGGAAAAAAAGGAGTAAGAGCAATTTCTAAAATAAAATTCTGAAGACGATACTGACCACAATGCTGCGGTTGTTCCCTCCAGAGAGGCAGGATCGGATCAGACGAGACACAAAGTGGGCAGAGGAAGGACTGTTGTGCCTGCTGACTCGTGAAGGGAGAGCAGCCACCACAGCCTGGTTCAGGTAAAGGGGGCAGCTATCCGTAGGGTTTGGGTTCAGAGAACTGAGAGCCGCCTGCCAGATCTGAAGAAAAGATAAAATAAACCCATGAAATTTCTGATTTTCTTAAAAGAAACTAAAGCCTTATAAGTTTGTAACCTTTACTAAAGAGGCTAGTAGATCACGTGTGTTATCCATTAAATTGAAAACCGCTTAAAAGTAATCAAGAGCCTCTGTCTGTCAAGTCATTTGCATTTTTACTTTGGGTTTATGATTTGACTTTTATGATTTTTAAGACTAGGTTTATGATTTGTTTTTATTACATTGTCTATGCAGTTTTCTGGAGTTGGATAAGCTTTGAGATGGACACAGATATTAAACGTGATATTCCTAATGTGCAATGACAAGAAAACCGACAACAGTATGAGCTGTTCACATGAGTTGTCTGGATCTCGGCAAGAAGGTAAACAACCAATATAAAAGGAGTTTGTTCAAAAATAAAACAACGTTTAATTTTCCTCACAGTGTCGAAAAGCCCTGCAAAAGCTTCTTTAATAACGGAGCTCTCCCTGGCCTTCACCACTCACTCTCTTAAGTCTTTTTATGGATGCATGCCAGAGCTGCACAACCATCACAGTTTGTAATTCCTAAAGTGTACCTCTACAACTGGACAAGATATTATTTCAGAGCAGACATCAACAACCAGTGTTGCAGGAAACTATTTGAACATATTAGCTCTTCTGTGGCCGTCAGAGTAAATTACAATCTCTTCTACAACTAATGTGACTTCAGTGCATTTATACCCACTATTAATCACCTAAGTCTGTATTTACTCAGTAAAAAAATCAAATGTCTAATTATGAATTTCAGGGGAGACTGTTTAACGCCTAAACAACAGCGTTCAGAGAAAACCAGAGTAATTGAGCTTTCAGGGTCACTCCTGGATTTTGTTTGTATCAAAATTTAAATTTAAACGAAAGAGTCCTGTGTATTAATGTGATTTTGTCTGGGTCTGATCTCAAGACTTTTCCAAAAATAATTGTCGCATTCTGATCAGGTAAATTTTGCAGTCCTCAAACCCAGAATCAATCAGTTTGACCTCAACAGTGTGAGTGACCCAGTCAGTGTCTAAAAAATCAATTAGCTAAACAATTAAACAAAAACCATTACAGGACATCTCTTTAAGCCGAACAACTTAAACTAAAGACAGATACCAGTTTTAAATCTTTGGAGTTACTTTCTTTGGTGAAGTTAGAATCAAAATGATTTTGATCTTCCGCAAATAACTTTATTGTCTCCATAAGCTGCGCTAGCTTTTACTGCCATTTGGTTAGCGCGTGACGCTAACACTCGCTATCACTCGTTATAACGACTGTCATTGTAATTTACCTCTTTGTTAACGACCGGCTGCAGTTTTCCTTTGACTTGACTCCAGTTTAATTGTTGGAGGTTCGTCTGTTGCCCCAGAATCAGGACAGGGCGACTCTGTGGCTCCGAGTCACCGGCAGACGACTTGAACTCCAGCACCACGTTCGCCATTTTTGTGACTCGCGACTTTGAGTCAGTTCTTCTTCTTGGACGATTATTGTGGTTGTTAGGTAATAACAGCATGGTGCAGTACCGCCACCTAGCGGTAAGGTCTGTGTATATACATCACATTCATAAAGCCTTTATACCAGGGGTTCTCAAGCCATTTGGGTCTGGGGACCCCTTACAAGGGCGAAAAAAATTCCAGGGACCCCCTCATAAACCCCATGCTGTTTTAAAAGATAATTTACTGTCATTTCAACCCCTAAATGCCATGGGAATATATATTTTATTACATTTTTTTGTGTTTATTAGTTCATTGTTCTCCATGCATTTTTAAAAATAAAAACCAAATTAACAATTTAGTGAAATTTTTTGAGGACCCCCAAGATACCTCTCGTGGACCCCTGGGGTTCCTGGGACACCAGTTTGAGAACCTCTGCTTTATACAGTACATATCTACTGTATAAGAATTAATATATTTAGAGGACAAGTTTACATTTAGTATATTTATAATGTAATATGTTAAGTTACTGTTTTGTGCTACTATTTAATCACCAATTATACTTTATACTTAAATATTTGCTTATAGTTCACACAGCACACCTTTCATTAAGAAATTCAACAAATTACTTGTAGACATGTTTCAAAGTTTAATCAAATAAATATAAAACTTCCTAAAGGCAAACTGTGGTGGGGGTTTGGTGTGCACCAGTTAAAAGAAACAAACAAAAAAAAAACATACAATGATAGTGTCAGAGTTTTGTTTTAACAGGATAATCTTAAGAATTTACTATAGTAACATTTCAGGCCCTTCAGGACTAACTCAAGTGGTGTAATGTCAGCAAAAAATGGGGCGTAACAAAGGAGCTGCGGACAAGTGATCTGAGACAAATAACAAGAGAGAAATACTTTACAGCCACTTGTGTGCCTCAGCTCATTTATAAAACTTAAAAAACAATACAAAATTGTCAGTCTTGATTTTTTTTGTCATGTGGGTTCCAACCACATTTAAACAACAAAGAATCTCAGCARGATGCATAAAAACCCACATGTTCATATAAAACACTGAGAAGTTTCTGCAGACAAACATTATTTCTGAATTTTTTGCTTTGTTTAGCAGTGTGTAATGGACATAATAAACTGCTTTGGTGACTGCTACAGAAGACAGTTCAACTAAATAAACTATAATGAAGTTAATTTTGTTGCTAGTGTTTTAAAGCGACAGTATTTTGCATCCTATTGTACAAATAATTGAATGCTAAAAACAACTAACTTTTTAACTGAGTCTATAGACATAGCCATTTTTAACTACATCATTATAAACAATTCGTTTTTTTAATGAGTAATTTCACAATTTCTCACTTTATGCTTTATCACAATAAAGTACAAACAAAATAAAAAATACTCCAGGTTCTTGGAACCTGTAGTTTAGATTAATTAAAAAAAACATATTTAGTGGGTTAATTATTAGAAAAAATATATATAGGCAGCAAGAAAAGTTTCAAATTTCTAAAACAAAGCTATGAAGAGCCATCTACAACAGGTAAGATACTGTTTATAAACTTTCCACAACCTTTATTTAATCTGAAATACTCATTTAAGCATCTAACATGAACCTAAAAATGTGTTTGTCATTTCACCTTTAGAGAGATATAAAATCTATCTTTATATATAAAATGTGTAGCTTCTTTTCAAGATTTATATAAATACAAAAAGCCCTTCATATGAATAAAGCTATAGCAACGTCTGTGGCTTAGAAACTCAAACGTAAAACTTATTACTGAATAAGATTTATCATATTAGTGCAGTGTTTGCTATACACAAGGCAAGATACGAAAATAGTCATAGTTGCATAAATGTTTGCAGCATCTTTTAGATAATTTAAAATCAGTATACTTAGAGGCAGTCTGAAGTTAAAGTCACATCAAACATGCTTGCACAGATTCTGACAAAGGGGTTTGGTGTTTTGTTTTTTCAACATGAGCGTTTCCCCCCTCTGGTATGGAAGGCGTGAGAAGCTGAGAGAACTAAAATCTCTACAACTGAACCTGGACTGAGAGATTTTCCTCTCTTGGAGGAAAATGTTCCAAAAGTGAAAATATTTTCTTGTTCTTCCTAAATGTCACCCAATTTCATGAAAGGCGAACAATCAAGTCGCCCAATTGTGTTTATATGTCTGTTAGCAAAATATCTCATGAAACACAGGATGGATTTTAATAGAACTCTCAGAAAGTAATCACTGGATATACATCTGCAACTGATTAACTTCTGGAGTCAACCTGAGTCAAGACAGCAGCTGCAGCTGATCAACTTTAGCAAACACAACAGAGACTATAATTCAGCCAATTTTACAGCTACTAAACTAAAACCGTGCGTGGTAGTAGCCGAGAGCCATCCATCCCCAACACTTATCCTGAGTGCTAACAAACTGCACAAGATTTTTATCTAGAATGCGATATGCATTCCCTTCAAAAACGCTAGTTTCTTCATGTTTCCGTGTTGGTATACTTTGGCTCATATGTATGGAAGACCATCTAAGTTTGGTTGTACATCTAAATAATAGAAAAGTTAAAAATCAGACCTGGCATGTTGTCAAAGAATGCAAATACTGAGTAACAGGATATGAATTTACCCTGAGTTGTTCTAAAAAGACTTGCATATTTTCCATGAAGGCATCTCCAATAACAGGCTGTTTTTTAATTGACACACTACCTGGTGTTATTTAGTGTTGGGACGTCAACTCTTGTCAAGCAACAAATAATTTACATCTTAACAAGGAGAAAAGGAGCTCAGGTTCAAAAGAATCTCTAAACTCACCTTTAAAAAGCTTTTACAAATGCTAATACTGACTTTGGACCTGGTTCAAGTAAGCTTTGTGTAGTGTGCTCACATTATAACTTCATTCATTTCTAAAGATAAATACTTCATAACTCATGGCAGAAACATTATCTGAAAGATCTGCTCATTTTAGCCACGTGTAAGACTAGATTTAAGAGGCTAAATTCTGATCAAGCTTCACTCCTCCACACAGACAGTCTTTAGCTCAGGCGTGACACAAGTTGCCGTTGGACTTGCAGGCAGAGGCGATGCCGCAGTTCTTCAGCACGGGGCTGAAGTGAGAAGCTGTGGTGGTCTCGGCCTCTCTGGGAGGGAAAGGCCTCATGGTGGAGAGGATCAGGGCCAGGCAATCCGCCACATTTTTGTTGGAGGCGCAGGCCAGAGCTGGTGTGTGACCTGCAGAGGACGGAAAATGTTAAATCGTCCAGTTTGAGGTCACTGATGTCTGATCAACGAGCATGATTTTAACACTGACGCTTACCGTCCTCGTCCACAGCCATGACCGCTGCCCCTCGGCTCAGTAAGACCTGCACCACTGTGGCCAAGCCTTTTCTTGCTGCAATGTGAAGGGGCCTGCATGACAACAAACAGTCTGAACAAAGGACTGCAAAGACTTCAAAACCGCAGTTAAAGATTTACAGTTACACCAACATAGTTTCATWAAAAAATATTCCTATGTTTTGATGACAGATCTTTTTAACCGGCTTACTGCAGTACTGTCTCTATGTTATCTTGTTTTTTTAAGCAGCCAGACTGTTTTTCTAATGGTATTACTAAGTCCTTCTTTAAAACTTGACTACCTTTTCACACAGTCAGATAGGATATTGTACAACATGTTTACATTTTTTTAGGATTAGTTAAAAGTTCTTTGTTAAATAACTGAAGAACGATCAAGACCGATTTGAAAGATCACCAGAAAGTCTGGCTCTAAGAAGCAAGGGAGGGTTTAAGACTTTTGCACAGAGACYACTCACATCTGGAGAGAACTGTTTCTTGCATCGATGAGGGAGGAATCTGTGATCTCTGTTAAGATCAGCAGAGCACACATCTCATGACCCTGCAGATTAAAATCATGTTGTTTATGAGTCCAAAGAAAGTTGCTCTAAATTCTTTAACAATTTAAACTGTAACAAAAAAATAAATAAAAACTTTATACTTGAAAACAGTCAAAACACTAAATTTGTACATTTTACACAGCTTTTGGCTTAACTTAACACTCTCTTCTGATGCATTCATGCAAAYTTTTACGTGCCACTGCAAGCATCCAGTGTGTGTTTGTGTGTGTGAGACCTTGCTGCAGGCTAAGTGAAGTGCTGTGTTGTTATTAACATCCACCAGGCTCAGGTCTGGCTTCGTCTTGTGCAGCAAAAACTCTGCAATGAAGAAAGGAGCAAAAGTAAAACGTTTTCTGTGCTTTAAGGTGTGGTGAACACAGTGAGGAACATCAAGACGCCGGCCTCAGATAATTTCAGTCACGTACCAACACTTGCAGTCTGTCCACAGCCCGCTGCGACCATGAGAGCAGAACAACCGAACTGATCCACACTGTTGAGTTCTGCTCCCCGGACCAGGACCAGCTGGAGCCCAGCCACACTCCCTGAATAAGCTGCTGCGTGCAGCGGCTTCCTGCGCAGTGAAACACAACAATTTTAAACAGATTTAACTCCTTTTACATTTTATTATGTTTGCACTTTGAAATTTATARAGAAATTCAAAATAAAAGCCTGAAAAATGTAATCTGTTTCTTTGACTGTTTTTGTCTGTAAATTTACAATCCTTGTAGGAAACCAAAAAACATATTGAGCAACAAGAACTCTAAAAAAATGATTTAAGTTTATTGTCAGTACTTGTCTAAAATAAGCTGAAGAATAATCCATAATCTAGCATCTTTAAATCATACTTGTAGTGTTACATGAAGCCGATTTGCTGTGAAAAACTGAACCCACCTTCCTTTGGCATCACTAACATGGACAATCTGAGGACCGATGGTCTTCACTAGAAGCTCAGCAGCAGCATCATGTCCACTGATTCTGCATATGAAGCAAAGACATATGAAGCAAAGACAAAAACAACAACTCTAAAACCATAATAACAGTCCAATTAACGTGTGCACACTGGGCTTAGGTTATTCTTCATAATCTGATACTCACAAAGCGCAGTGCAYTGGAGTGAAAAGATTTCCTTCCCGGTTGCTAAAAAGTTTGTTTTCAAGCAAAACTTGTAAACAACCTTCATGTCCTGAGGAAACCAACAAGCAGACAAATGATTTGACATTATTTAACTACAATCCTACGGTTAGTTTTCCTGTAGTTTTCGCTGAAACCAGCTGGTTTTGTTGAGAAAAATGAAAATCAGTGTTCACCGTGGTACGCAGCCCAGTGTGTGGGTGTGAAGCCCCGGAAGTCCAACAAGGAGTCCAGAGGGTCGGCTTTCCTCGCAGCCTTCAGTAAAGTGTGGAGCAGCTTGGTGTGGCCGCAGGCGGCTGCGAGGTGGAGCGGCGTCTTTCCCTGAGAGTCTCTGCACAGGACGGAGGCGCCGTGTTCCAACAGAGCGGACACGCAGTCCTCACTGCCCAACATCGCCTGCAGYACAAGAGGAGGAACTTTCATATCAGGACAAAACAAACAGCTTTCTGAAAARGTTAGGTTGGATTGAAAAGTAAAGTGTGACACACTCACGGCTCTGTGCAGGGCAGTAAAACCGTGTTTATCTGCAGCATCGACGTTGGCGTTTTTCTCCAGGAGGATGTAGACGCAGTCGGTGTGACGTCCCAAAGCAGCGAGCATGAGAGCCGTCCTGAAACATGGAGAGAAGTTATCATTTTAACCGGTCAATCCTGGTCKTCGAGGGCCGCTGTCCTGAAAGTTTGACTTGTTTCTCTGCTCCAACACACCTGATCCACTGATTGGATTACCTCTTCATGTTCTGCAGTTAATCAGCCGTCCGTTCAAATCAGGTGTTTTGGAGCAGAGAAACCTCTGAAACATGCAGGATGTGTCTGGACACCTGGTTTAAACTTTATTTGCAGTTATTATAATTTGATTATTTTGTCTTTGAGTCAAGAAAACATCTGTTTTGAATAAATACATCTCCACAGCTTTTTCTCATCATTAAACTGTCATTATTAAATTAGTTTTTGTAAATTCAAGTTGGTGCTTTAAAATTAGATTTTACAACAGWAAGACAGTTTTAAATTTCAAACATCATTTTCTCAGCAAAAATGAAATAAAAATGATGATAGTGCAATCAGATGGATTTGGATTAACCGAAGAATAAGTTAAATATATACTGAAGGGGTTTCACTTTTTTATCAGAGAAAATATTGTAATCAGAGAAGTCAGACTCCACTCACTGTCCCCGTGTGTCCGGACTGTCAATGATGTCCACACTGTGCTCCTTGTTGACCAACAAAAGCAAACAGTCCACTTGTCCCTCCGCAGCTGATTGAGCAGGAAAACAAACAATAATTAAAAGTATATTGTGCTTTTAAACCATTCTTTTTCATATTTAAATCATTCAGCTGGGGTCTATATAAAGTGGAACTGRAACGCTTTGATCTGAATTCTTCCTTAAAGTGATCCATGATTAGTTGTAACATTAGATTTTATTTGATAAACATATATTTTAACTGTAAAATAAAGACTGTAAAAATACTGTAGGATGCTCAGTTTTGTAAATTTTTAAAAATATATTTTAACACAGACATAGCCATTTTATTTACACACAAAGCATTCTGGGTAAATGATGACATGGATAGGTCCTCGGTGCGAGGCTGCTAGCGAGCTATATCCACCCTGAAGGTTAATCTTGGACAATATCTGATGATCGACTCTTAAATGAAACCAGAGAGCGTTGACAGAGAGGAGAAGGTAGAAATGACTCAGCCTGGAACTGAAAATATAGATGGAGGACAACAGAGCTGCTTCATGGAAGAAGAACCTCAGCTTAGCCTGTTAAGCCTTTGCGCTAGCGCTATACTGCCTTATACGTATTAACTCAGCGCTATCGCGACAAACTAACAAGCTAAACTGAGGTCCTCCATCCATTTTTTCAGTTACAGGCTGAGTCATTTCTACCTTCTCCTCTCTGTCAACGCTCTCTGGTTTTATTTAAAAGAGCCGATCATCAGATATTGTCCAAGATTAACCTTCAGGGTGGATATAGCTCGCTAGCAGCCTCGCACCGATGACCTAGCCACATCATCATTTACCCAGAATGCTTTGTGTGTAAATAAAATGGCTTAGTCCGTGTTAAAATACATTTTTAAACTTTTAGTTTAAAAATGATAAAAACCGAACATCCTACAGTATTTTTACAGTCTTTATTTTACAGTTAAAATATATGTTTATTAAATAAAGTCTAATGTTACAACTAATCAGGGATCCCTTTAATGTAACTCCACAAGCCCCTCTTTCACCCCTTTTCTGAGGTTTGTCTCAGATCAACTTGCTTTTATGCAGCCAGAAAACACCATAGGAAATAAAAAAAACTGAATGGGTTGAAAAATATGACCCAAACAGACTATAAAGATATCTGCACAGCACCAGGASAGACTAAATTCAACTTTTCTGCACTCCTAGAGACTTCAAGTAAACAACAAAAATGTTTTTAACGGCTGTAAAAAAAGGYGATTTTGGATGATAAATCCCCCTTAAAAAATGATGAGATGCGAARATTTAACAAAAGATGTCAAACAGAATAAAAAAAGTAAACATCATACGAGAGCAGAAGCAGCARAACTGGAGACCCACCTGCAGCGTGCAGAGCCGTCCACCTGTGCCTGTGCTCCTTCAGTGAGTAGGAGGCTTGATGCTGCAGCAGAACCTCCACACATTTAGAAAACCCTCTGCGAGCGGCCAGGTGGAGCGCAGTTTGACCCTTGACGTCCCGCACGTCCAGACTCACCAACGTCTCACACAGTAAATGCAGCGCCTCACAGTGGCCATAATACGCCTGCAGGTGTGAAATCCAGAGTGAAGTTTTACATCGAAGCTTGTTTTTTTTTTCCCTTTTTTTTTTGTTCATTACTCACGGCTAAGTGCAGAGGACTGACAGGAATATTACTTTCAACCTCTTCGAGGCAATTAAAAGAAATTTCCAAAAGCTGCAGAAATAAAAGAGCCTTAATGAGCTTCAGCCTGGGTGAGTACGACATCGACGTAAACGCCAGAGAGGRCATTAGAAAACTGACCAGTTCTAGATGCTGTTTGTTCCCGTAGGCTGCTGCGTAGTGAACAGCACTGTAACCCCGACTGTTCTTCAACGTTGGGTTTGCCCCGTTGTCCAGCAAATAGTCCAAACACCTGAATTCACAGAAAGACAAAAACCCATTTTATTAATTAAATACACCTATTGCTCAATTTTGTCGTCTCTTGGAAATAAGCTTTGTGTGTATTTATGCTGTCTAAAAGCACRTTTTACTTCAACAAAAGAGGGAGCTAAAAAAAGACATCATTGCTAAAGTTCAGAAGGTTTGTATAAAAATAAAAGGTAATATTATTTGTAAAGATGACMTACAGAAAGGCTTCGTGTTCCTTTTCCATGCTGAGGTTTGTTTCATAGTTTGCTCCCTCTCTATTGAGGAAAAACACAACATTTGAATTAAAACCAGGCCCACATCTTGTTATTAATTAAAACCTGTAAAGAGTTCAAATGAGGACAAAAGCCCTCACCGACAGAAGGTGTGTGAAGCAGCGGCGTAGTGCAGAGGGCTGCAGCCTGTCAGGTCCGCCTCATTGACCTCCGCTCCGGCTCTCACCAGYGAAATGGTGCACTGGCTGTTCCCGTTGGCTGCAGCGTAGTGAAGAGGAGATCTGGACGGAAAACAGAGGATATCACATTAGGAAGTAAAAAAAWAATAATAATAAAAACAAGTAGATGTTCAAACACAGCCTACCTTCCCAAATTGTCCTTTAAATCCAGTTCAGCGRCACTATTTAAGAGCAAATTGAGACACTCAACATTTCTGCAAAACAAAAAGGTAATCTGAGTTAATAATCAACCTGTACATTCTGCAGATTACCATAATTAAAATGATCAAATCAAAATTGTTGGTTTTAGAAAAAGAAGAGGTAAAATCAATGGGCCTCTTGCAAGAACATGTTTGTATTCTTATCCTAAATTTCTCTTACTTTTGCTCGTACAAACATGTCACGTCAGATTCAACAAACTCTTCTATCTTCAGGAAAAGTGTGTAAATGAGCTGCGTAAAACATGATGCATGCGTATCAGGTGCTTGCGCACGAGGAGAGGTGATTAGAATAATCTACCACACCAAAAACAGCATATAACGTAACGTTTCCTGCCACACATACCAGGAAGTGTCCGTTCATGAAAATGACATTGCAAAGTAAAAAAGAAAAACTTTACGAGTTCGGTGACTGAAGTTCTGCTCTCGGAGATCCACAAAAAAAAGTAATTTTTAGCAGCGTCAGCTGTGGAATTAAAGGAGCTGCTTTAAAGCCAAGGAATGAAATGACGACTGTTGTTAATGTTGTGTCTCCTGTGGGTCGTTACGGTCACAGAAACAAAAAATTATAAATCATATTCATATCTCTGTAGTCCTGCTCCAGTTTTTCTTTGGTCAAATATTTTTAATTTCAGTGTAAACAACTGTGATACATAGGTTTAACTTCCGAAGAGCCGTCGTGCACCGCAACCCCCACCCCACCGACCGTTTCAAGTGTCAGATGCATTTCTGACAAAAAGCATTTTAAAATGTCTCAAAACTTCAATTAACTTCATATTAATATTGTAGTGCTTTATTGCTATACAACAAGATTAATAGCCAATTTATTTTAATTTAACCAATATACAGTATGTCGTTAYTCTACATTATTACATTTAAAATTATAATTCTAATWCAAACAGAATAGACTCTTGTCAACATAATTATGGAGTGTGATTTATTTTCAACTCAAAATATCTTCAAACTAATGAAATATAAAGTTATTAATGAAGAAAATCCGTCTGGATAACAGCAGACTGACTGCTCGTAAAATATACGACAGGTCTGGACCACTCGTGAATTTTGTTCATATCTGAAAAAAATCTTAAAAGTACGAGAAACATTGGTGAATGCCACAAATTCTCCTAAATCACTCGTACGCACAACCTAAGAACAAATCTGTGCGTACGAACGGTTCTTGCATGAGGCCCAATAAATGTGAGTTTGTCACTCACCCTCCAGAAGCAGCTGCATGCAGGCAGGTCCTGCCATGATCGTCAGACGTGTTTATGTCAAAGTCTGTTTGGGTTTGCTCAGCTGCCGGAGCTGGCACAATGTTGTAAAACTGGCCTGAGTGGAAAAAACACAGCAGCATGCTTGAGTTGTGTTAGTGCCTCAGATATAATACAGCAGAGTTGAACAGAGTCAAAAGGCTTCTTACCSTTAGAAAGTAACATGTGACAACATTCAGGAAAACAATAGAGAGCAGCCAAATGCAGTGGAAGCATCCCATGAACGCCCTGTCTGTACAGATCATAACATGCTTTACTTTAGRGCAGATCTGATTTGTGGGGAAACAATTTTATATCAGAAGCAGAAACAACAGGATCCGTCAAAACTTTTTTTATCTAATTAAACATAAACCAGTTTCCATCCATTTTACACTTCTCATGAAAGGTGTGACCCTCAAACAGACTCACCTGCCTCTGTCAGCACCGTGTGCCAGCAGAAGACTGACCAGTAACTCCTGACCGTATCTGGCAGCGACGTGAAGTGGAGTGTTTCCATATATGTCGACACAGTCGATCTCCCCACCTACATAAAGCCAGGAAGTCGTGTTCAATCTACATTTTAAGTTTGCAGTTTTTTTCACCTTGCTACCGTTGTGATTGTGATTTATAGAACGTCACCTCTTTGGATCAGAACCTGGGAGCCTGTGAAGCATCCGTGCATTGCAGCCATGTGTAAAGGGCTCTTTCCTTCTTTATTCTGTGAAGAAAATGGGTTTAAAAGATTTTCTAGTTGCATATTTTGTCCAACTCCCTCCAACAGAAACGGTACCTGCTTGTTGACGTCAGCACCGTGGTGGACGAGCASCTCAAGACACAAGGCGCCGCTGGAGGAGGCGGCGGCCAGGTGCAGCGGCGTGTCACCATGATGGTTGGGCTGGTTTATACTGGCTCTGCAGTTCAATAACTCAGTGGCGACCAGGTCTTGTCCTGTGTGACAGGCCATGTGGAGTGCAGTGTTCCCAAAAATGTTGGGTTCATCAGTCTGAGAGGCAGAAAGAACGAAKAGAACATCTTCACTCAAAGATGCAAAAAAATAATTTGAAATACAGATTTACTATTTTGGATAAAAACATCAAGAAACCTAGATTTCATAAAACCCCAATTCTAAACAAAATGAGTGAATATTTGCAAAAAATAAAGTTTATCCTTTAGTATTAACAGAATAAATGTTGAAGAGGATTTGCAAATCATCATATTCTGTTTTTATTTATGTTTTACACAATGTCCCAACTTCAATGGACACACATTTTAATTTAAAACCACAGTGAAGGAATTATCGGGGTTTAGGTGGTGCAATGATAATAATTACAATAATTACAAAATACACAGCTGACCTGATTAGGATTTAATGGTAGTTCAGGTTGTATTTTTATGTTTTATTGTCGGGGTGGAATAAATGAATCATTTTTAAACTTAATCTGGGGTGGTATGTTAGTTTTTTCCAATTTGTGCTGTTACGCTTAGATTAATTGCACACATAAAGTGCCTTATTGCGTACATACAGGGCTTTTGACTAATAATTTCCTTAATGTTCACYTGACAGTTTGGTCATGTGAAGAGAGGGAGTTGAAGGAATTATCAGGGTTTAGGTAGTGCACTGATTATAATCACACCACACACAGTATAGTTTGTTTTATGGTAGAAGTGTAATGACTGATAAATGTGATTTACAATTCACTGGATGAGTCTATTTTATTAGCTACATGCCTGGGATATATAAAACATATTTGTATTTTTAAAATCATTAGGATAGGTTTTTAAATTGTTTGTGGGCATGGCTCTGACCAAAATGATAGGGACCCCCTCCTGACCGATGACGTAATTAATATAGGCGAAGTCATGCCCTGAAGCAGATGTTATAACCTCTGTCACTTCCTTGTTTCGGTCTGATTCCTGGTCTGCATTAAACATGTTATCTGCGAGAGCTCTCTGGGTTTCTGTATGGTTTACTCTCACACTCACATTATATTTGCACATTCTCATATGATTTCACACGCATCCTGATAACAAACGTGCAATAACGACTATTTTCTTTCAACATATATGGTCAGTACCAAAAAAAGCTTTTTACAAAAATATTTCCATAGTGAGGCCATTTCTCTCATTGGGCAACACTAAGAGAATGATACACAACTTTATAAGTAGAACTTAAACTTGGATTGATTGACTGCCTATAAAAAAGGGTCTCTGTCCATCTTTAAGAAATGATTACACAGCTTTGTGTTGGACAAGAGTGGATCCTTTCTAACACAAACTGCCATACTACCACTAGATAAAGTTAGTTGTTTCTCGTAAAGAAGATATAACAGAAAATACATTAAATTCATTTTCAGACCAAGCCACGGCTACTTTACCTCCACCTTCAGTCTCAACAGAAACTTGACCACGTCTAACTGTCCGCTCGCAGCAGCAACGTGAAGTGGAGTGTAACCCCGCTTGTCCTTGCACATCATGTCCCCACTGTGAGACACCAGCAGCTTCACGATGTCCAAGTGACCTGATTAAACGATCATCACAAAAACACAAAATAAAGCACATATGTAGGATTTATTTTATTCCCTAAGAATATTTACTAATCCTCTATTCTTGAGACAGAGGAAAACTTCAGTATTTTCACAATGTTACTTTTTATTCTTTTTATAGTAAAAATTCTTTTTATAATAAAATAAAAAAATAGATATTTTGAGACAGTAATCCATGCCTTTATCACCACCCAGCTGGATTACTGTAATGCACTTTATCTGGGGGTTAATGGGTCCTCCATTGCCCGACTGACGAGGGTTCAACATGCTGCAGCGAGGCTTTTAACTGGCACACGTAAATATGAGCACATTTCCCCCATTTTAGCTTCACTCTGCTGGCTGCCTGTGCCTTTTGGGAGCCATTTTAAAATACTTTTATTTGTTTTTAAATCTTTGAATGGCCTCGCCCCCTCATACCTGTCTGACCTGCTGCACCCCTATAATCCCTCCCGCTCCCTTCAGATCAGCTGATCAACTGTCCCTAAAACCAGACTCAAACTCAGGGGYGATCGATCTTTTGCTGTAGCAGCTCCTAAACTTTGGAACGAGCTACCTCTCCTACTTAGACAGTCGTCTTCACTGGCTGTTTTTAAAACTCGTCTTAAAAACCACTTGTTTTCTTTGGCTTTAGACACTGTGTGAGGGGTTGCATTGCCCATTTATACTAGATTTTATTTTTTGTAGAAATTATCTTGTTTTTATTGTAGATTTTTAATTAGGTTTTAGGCATTTTATTGTTTTTTTCCTTTTATTTTTCTGTGTTTGTTTATTATTTTCTTAAAGGGGCAATATCATGTAAAATCAACTTTTTGAATTTTATATCATGTTATAAATGTTATACTCTCATATAAAACATGCCCAAAGCCTTGCTCTGACTCGTTCATGCATGTTTGAGAAATCCTGCAGTGTTTTTAGGAAGCCATGCTGAGGAGCAAAACGACAGGTGGGGACCAGAAACGCCTTTTGGGACCAGAAACGCCCCTGGGACAGACTAAAAAATATCACTCAACACAATTTAAAACAAAATCTCCTGGGGTAGAGGGCTCGGTGAGAACGCTGAGTGGGTGGGCCAGCCAGCCTGCCTGCTTAGCTGTTTGGCTAGTGCCGCTGAGCCACGGGACAGTGCAACAACAAAAGATGGGGAGGTGCTGCAGCACTACAGACAGAGAGTAGACTTTGAAAGATCTGCATGTGCAGCAGTCAGTGTGTGGGTAAGAACAAAGCTTGAGTATCGATCTTTTTACACGAGTATTGTTCAATATCAATACCAGCGTTGATATTTATATTATCGATATTAGTATCGATCCACCCACCTCTACTGAGCTCCACTACTTCTCACTCAGTGAAGCTCTTTTCAGGTTAAAAACACCTTTGAGGAAATGTATTTTCAGATGCCAAGTAAACTGCATCATAGCACACGCGCGACCCGGGACAGAAGCGGAAGGTGGTTCTTAAAGAGACAGAGGCCATTTTCAAGGCATTTAGAAGAGGAAGTGATGAGAAGATAAGTTTATTTTCTATTTAAACAGAAAAACAGCATTTTAATAACAACTAAAAGGTGACATAGATACTTTATTATGGTATAGTATTTAATATATGCCTGAGAAACACATAATATTGCCCCTTTAATTTTGATTGAGTTTGTTTTTGTATGAGCTGTTAGAATGTTGATTCTGTACAACACTTTGGTCTACTACGGTGCAAAAAGTGCTTCACAAATAAAGTTGGATTGGATAAATAAAACATAAAGGTGAAGASGAAACACTACCCACCGAGGTGTGCAGCCCAGTGAAGTGGTTGTCTTTCCTTCTTATCTTTGGCGTTTGAACTGGCCCCTTTACGCAGGAACAAGTTCACCATCTGTACAAACACAATAGATTAAATGTTTGTTCAGCATTATCTTTGAAAGTAACTACAGTGTCTCTAAATGCTTTCTGCTTAGTCTGATAATAAATGCAATCAATGGGCCTCATGCAAGAACGTGTTTGTATTCTTATCCTAAATTTCTCTTACTTTTGTTCGTACAAAGGGTTCGTACGAACA